TTTATTTATTGTGTGTGTGGGTAGGTTTTAATTCTTAACTACTCTTTTCAATACTTTTAGGTGATCTTGGACATGTAACAAGAATCTCTAGTCCACAAGTTGAAGAAGGTGATAGTCGTTTTCTTGCAAATGAAGTTTTACAAGAGGTAATTGTGCTTTAGTAATACCTTTTTCTTAGGGCAAGAGCAGATCAACTGAGAAAGAGAATTACTTTTCTTTGTACCATTTATCATTTTATCATATTTTCGTGTATTGAAGTATATTAGAAATTTAATAATTGGTAGTATAAAAATAGTAATTCTAAACCATCATCTGGGAGGATTATAATTCAACAAAAGTGTGAAGACAAAGATTTCTAATGGCATTGTAGGGGGCCTGCCCCTTAGCTCAGTTCTTTAAGTGACTGCTTCAACAAAGCAGTCAGGCTCAGGTTGCTGTGTTTCCATCCCCACACCTCAAGCCAGCCAAACCTGCCCTGAAGGCATTCAGGGCAAAAAAAAAAAAAAACCCAAAACACCCTTGTGCCTCTAATGGCATTGTACAGAAGAGGTTCCAAATATTACTTGTGGAACTTTAAAATTGAATAGCATATTTGGAGATCCAAGTACCAGAAATCTGTCAACATTTTAAAATCATGTAAGTTGGATGTGGTGGCACATATCTGTAATCCCAGCACTTGGAAGCGGAGGCAAGAGAATCCCTGTGATTTTGAGGCCAGCCCGGGCTACAAAGTGAGTTCAAGGACGGCTTGAACCATGTAGTGAAACTCAGCCTCAAAAAGACTAGTAAATAAATGAATCATCTACTCTTCAACTCAGAATTTTCACTTTTTTTGTGTTTTTTTTTTTTTTTTTATTTAGGATAGGGTGTACAGGGTCTCACTGCATAGGTCAGACTCATAGTGATCCTCCTGTTTACAGCCTCCCAAGCTCTGGGATTACAGGCTTGTGCCACCTCGCCCAGTCTCAAATCCTGGGGTGGGGGTGGGGAGGCACAGTAGGTCTGGGGATCGAACTCCCATGCTCCTGAGTCTGCCTAAGCAGGCACTTTAATCTGCTGAGCTATTTGGCCAGCCCTAGAATTTTCACTTCTGTGAGTTTTATAGAAATAGTAATATACAAACAAATTGGCAATAGTATGATTAAATTATGGCAAATGGTCTCAGATTATAACTGTTAATTGCTAAGGGTTTGTTTGAAATAGGAATAAACAGTATTATGTGAACTCTTTGCTCACATACCTGCTTTCTTGCCTATATGTTTATTAACTTGGTGAGTTCATACAACCATGTTTTATGTTTGCATATTAATCCCTAGAGGGATAGGAATTTCTTCAGAGTGTTCAGCTAGGTTAATGACAGAGGAAACATTACTTTTAGGTAAATATTTAAATACCCCTGCCCCAACTGTTTACTTTGTAATTAAAAAAAATAAAAGAACCCCCTCATTTCAGCAGCTTGTTCTCTGAATAGGTCCTTAACTTAAGCATGGCATTGAATGTTTATACTCAGTTTGATTTTTCACTTAAATTGTCATTTTATTTTGACCATTTTTACATTGTCTAAAAATTTTTTTTAAACATTTTTCAGAGTTACACCCACCTACCAAAAGCGGATATTTTTGCCCTTGCCCTCACGGTGGTTTGTGCTGCTGGTGCTGAACCTCTTCCCAGAAATGGAGACCAGTGGCATGAAATCAGGCAGGGCCGATTGCCTCGGATTCCACAAGTGCTTTCCCAGGAATTGACAGACTTGCTAAAAGTGAGCATTGTGTATCTAAAGCACTTTATTGACACAGTTCAATATTTTATTAAATTATGTCCTTAATTTTATTTCTCGAAGGTTATGATTCATCCAGATCCAGAGAGAAGACCATCATCAATGGCCCTGGTAAAGCATTCAGTATTATTGTCTGCATCTAGAAAGAGTGCTGAGCAATTACGAATAGAGTTGAATGCTGAAAAGTTCAAAAATTCACTTTTGCAAAAGTAAGTGAGGGTGTTTGTGTTTCTTTGCTTGCTTTTTTTTTTTAATTTCTCAGTTCTCTCTCTCTCTCTTTTTTTTTTT